TTTATTTTTTTAAAGAAATTAATACTTCTATTCAGCAAGGATTAAATAAGTTGATCAAAAATGACAGTAAAGACATTTATCATTATTCTGTATATACATTTATATATTTAAAAACAATTTTTTTTTACTGTATTTGTGATTAAATAAATGCAAGCTTAGTGATCAAAAACAGTTCTTTAAAAGATCCCAAACTTTTCAATAATAGCAAATAATAATAATACAGAAAATGTTACTATAATTTCTCTTTTAGTAACATTGTAGACAAGATGGACATGAAATGTAAAGTTGTAATGTAAATTTTCATTGTGTAATTATTATTATTTTTTTTTAAGTGTCACAACAGTGTGATGAGGTTGTTGTGGCCTTGCGTTACACTCTTTACTGGAGAGAGAACGGCCTCACTGCCATTAAAGTGACACGGACCACTGCAAACATCACTGTACCTAGTGAGTCTTTCCTAGTGACTCTCACAATATGACACACCTCTTCACTGCACCTGTTTCTTATGCGCACCTCTCATTCTTTCTATCACTTTCTCTGTCTTTCAGTATCTTTAGCCAGAAGATATTCTGCAGTGTTTGTGAATGGAAATGAAACATCTCAGTCAAACTCTGGCAATCCAGGTTAAAGGAACTCCCATGATACATCAGTTTCAGATGCTCCGGAACATTTTATTAGGTCAGAAAATTATTTATCATGCATTACTCTCCCCCCTAACGTTTATACAGGTTACCAGGTGAAGAGGCCAGTGATTGGTGGTATTTTGGACTCCGATACAGGAGATATAGAGGGCCCTGATCAATCTCTGGCAGCCAGGTAGTGTAGCATATCCATATTTATCCACACAAAACTACAAAAAACATTAGTTTAATCCTGTGCTGTGTCCTCTGCAGGTGGAGATGGCCTGTGTTGAGGCCAGCTCTGTTTGGAATCAACTCCACATCAGGCTGTATGATTCCTGTGAGTTTGCTGAATGTGACGCAGTGCAGCCAGTTGAGGTGAGTAACACTGCTGAAGGGTTACTCAATACAATACAATAGCTTCCTGTAACAGTTTCATCTGACAGAAGTCTTTCTTTTGCATGTGGTGTCACAGAGAAACAGTGCGTGGCGTCTTAGCCGGATTAGTGCCTGCTACACTCGTCTCCACAACAGGAAAACCAAACTTTTCCAACTTATCGGACTGGGTCAACATTACTAGTGAGCACTACATCATACAATTATCTGTAATATGACTAATATATCAAACTATTCTAGTGTACAGATTATATTATACTTTGTCTTATAAAATGCATAGTTGCAGCTTAAAATTTTGATCAAGTTGTCTACACTACCGGTCAAATGTTTGAAATGGTAAAGATTTTTTTTAATAAGCATTTTCATTTATATGCACAGCAAATCTGCATTTATTCGATCAAAAATTCAGTAGTATTGTAAAATATTATTACAATTTAAAATAACAGTTTTCTATTTTAATATATTTTGAGGTATAATTTATTCCTGCGATGCAAAGCTGAATTTTCAGCATCATTACTCCAGTCTTCAGTGTCACATGATCTTCAGAAATCATTCTAATATGCTGATTTCGTGCTCAATCGTTATCATTTATTATAGGTTCTCAATTATTATTGGTTCTTATTGTTATCAGTTTTTCGTTGCTTATTATTTTTGTAGAAACAGTGATGCATTTTTTTTTCAGGAGGAATAGAAATTTCTGAAGAACATTTATTTTACTTGTAAATTTGATCAATTTAGTGCATTTTTGCTGTATAAAAGTATTATTTTCTTAAAAAAAAAAACTTTTGAATGAAAGTGTCATGGTTTCCACAAAAATATTAAGCAGCAAAGGTGTTTTAAATATTGATAATAATAATACGAAATGTTTCTTGAACAGTAAATCAGCAATTAGAATGATTTCTAAAGGATCATGTGACACTGAAGACTGGAGTGACCCCTTTAAACTTCTGAAATACGGTTTTCTGAGAGAACACCTCCGAAGCACACGGACAGAAAGCGGCTGTCACAGCATGCGAGTACTAAACTAAATTCTCATTCACACACAAGTTTACGTTAAAAACACACATGAGTTACAAAAACAGTCGGTTA